AAGGATGAAAAGTCAAAATATCCATGCAGCTACATTTTGCCTGGAGAAAGGCAAAATGTGCCCTCACTGAAAGGCAGATGGAGAATCACCATATGGCTATAAAATAACTTTAAAGAGCTACATAGAGTGAAATCAAGTCTTATGAAGCCTTGTTTCGTTTGATATTGTGATATGGCCTAAGGCAGTGGCTCTCAACCTTCCTTTGGAACCTCTGAATTTGGAACCTCCGAATAAATAGATAAACTTGAATTGGAAAATGACCCAGGAATGGCCCAAGACGATGGAAAGGATAAGGAATTGAATGAGAGGATATAGTTTTTAGTTTTTAATATTGTTATTATGCACTGCCTTATGTCTAATTGCACTATAATGGTTCTTTTTGTTTATCAATGTATGTATTTTTATGGCATCGAATTGTGCCGATTGTGTATGCCGCTCTGAGTCGCCTTCAGGCTGATATGAGTGGGGTAGAAATAATGCAAAAAAATAAATAAATAAATTCCTAATGCCACGGCTCCTGATGTTCTGGTGACCCTCAAACTTAAAATTATTTTCATTGTTACTTCATTATTGAAATGTTGCTACTGTTATGAATATAAATATCTCATGTGCAGGTGTATTTTCATTCACTGGGCCAAATCTGGCCCAAATACCGATACGCCCAAATTTGAATACTGGTGGGTGTTTTGTTTTTGTCATTTGGGAGTTGTAGTTGCTGGGATTTATAGTTCACCTACAATCAAAGAGCATTCTGAACCCCACCAACGATGGAATTGAACCAAACTTGGCACACAGTTCTCCCATGACCAACAGAAAATACTGGAAGGGTTTGGTGGGCAGTGTCCTTTGGTTTTGGAGTTGTAGTTCACCTACATCCAGAGAGCACTGTGGACTCAAACAATGATGGATCTGGACCAAAATCTACACGAATACTCAATATGCCCAAATGTGAACACTGGTGGAGTTTGGGGAAAATAGAATCTTGACATTTGGGAGTTGTAGTTGCTGGGATTTATAGTTCACCTACAATCAAAGAGCATTCTGAACTCCACCAATGATAAAATTGAACCAAATGTGGTTTCATTCACTGGGCCAAATCTGGCCCAAATACCGATATGCCCAAATTTGAATACTGGTGGGTGTTTTGTTTTTGTCATTTGGGAGTTGTAGTTGCTGGGATTTATAGTTCACCTACAATCAGAACGCATTCTGAACTCCACCAACAATGGAATTAGACCAAACTTGGCACACAGAACTCCCATAACCAACAGAAAATACTGGAAGGGTTTGGTGGCCAATGACCTTGAGTTTTGGAGCTGTAGTTCACCTACATCCAGAGAGCTCTGTGGACTCAAACAATGATGGATCTGAACCAAACTTGGCATGAATACTCAATATGCCCAAATGTGAACACTGATGGAATTTGGGGAAAACAGACCTGACATTTGGGAGTTGTAGTTGCTGGGATTTATAGTTCACCTATAACCAAAGAGCATTCTGAATCCCACCAATAGAATTGGGCCAAACTTCCCACACAGAACCCCCATGACCAACAGAAAATACTGTGTTTTCTGATGGTCTTTGGTGACCCCTCTGACACCCCCCTTGCAACCCCCCTAGAGGTCCCGACCCTCAGGTTGAGAAACACTGTTCTAGATAGAAAAGGTCTTGGAGCTAACTAGCTTACTAAGCTCATCTTCTATGGAAGGTAAAAGGACAAAAAGTCAAAATATCCATGCTGCTACATTTTGCCTGGAGAAAGGCAAAATGCGTCCTCACTGGAAGGGAGACAAAGGCAGAGAGAGGGCAATGGAGAAATCACCACATGGCTAAAAAATACCTTTAAAGACAAAGTTAGCTCATCCCTCACAGATTCTGTTGCTTCATCTTCAAAGTGGAGATAGTGGCATGCAAGAAGAGTAAAGATGAAGCCCCTTCTGAGAGAAACATACATTGGAATGGGGGAAAGGAATCCCTCACTGTAACCCTATATCTATGTCTAGCTACTTATAGAATCATAGAGTTGGAAGACACCTCATGGGCCATCCAGTCCAATCCCCCGCCAAGAAGCAGGAAAATCGCATTCAAAGCACCCTCAATAGATGGCCATCTAGCCTCTGCTTATAAGCCTCCAAAGAAGGAGCCTCCACCACATTCTGGGGCAGAGAGTTCCACTGCTGAACAGCTCTCACAGTCAGGAAGTTTTAGATGGAATCTCCTTTCTTGTAGTTTGTTTTCTGTATTTTATTGTGTTGTATTGTAGTGTTGGGCTTGGACTCATGTTAGCTGCCCCAAGTCCTCATTGGGGAGATGGTGGCGGGGTATAAATAAAGATTATTATTATTGACACAAAAACACAGTATGTCACAGCAAATGAGATCAATATGCTGGATTTCGTATCACAAAATCACAAGTCAAATACTTCCCAAGCGTCTAGGACTGTGTGATGTATTTTCGAATGATGTGCGCAGATCCAAGTCAGGTGGCCTTTTGCAGTTGAGAGATCATGATTTTGTCAATGTTTATTGTTTCCAAAAGCCGGCTGAGATCTTTTGGCAAGGCACCCAGTGCATCAATGACTACTGGGACCACCTGTACTGGTTTATGCCAGAGCCTTTGCAGTTCTAGGATGCAATGGAGCAATAATAATAATAGTAATAATAGGTTGTTGAAGGTTTTCCGGGCTATATTGTTGAAGGTTTTCCAGGCTATATTGTTGTTATCTGAATCTGGCATTGAATTGTTGCCATAGTTTGTAAGCTGCCCTGAATCCCCTTCGGGGTGAGAAGGACGGGGTATAAGTACAGTAAATAAATAAATAAATAAATATATGGCCATGTTTTAGAGGCATTTTCTCCTGACGTTTCGCCTGCATCTATGGCAAGCATCCTACTACCTCTGGGGATGCTTGCCATAGATGCAGGCGAAACGTCAGGAGAAAATGCCTCTAGAACATGGCCATATAGCCCGGAAAACCTACAACAACCCAGTGATTCTTGCCATGAAAGCCTTCGACAATATAATAGTAATAATAGTAATAATAATAATAATAATAATAATAATAATAATTTCCTCTTCTGATGTTAACAAGTCCATAGTTTTTCACTGAACCGTTTGTTGGAAATGAAAACTATGGACTTGTCAACATCAGAAGAGGAAATTATTATTATTATTATTATTATTTCTCCATTGCATCCTAGTCTCCAGGGCAGCAGAAAACAAGCATGCTCCCTCCTCCCTATGACTTCCTCTCACATATTTATACATGGCCCTCATCATGTCTCAGCCTTCTCTTCTGCAGGCTAAACATGCCCAGCTCTTTAAGCCACTCCTCATAGGGCTTGTTCTCCAGACCCTTGATCATTTGAGTCACCCTCCTCTGGACACATTCCAGCTTGTCAATCTCTCTTCAATTGTGGTGCCCAGAATTGGGCACAATACTCATTGAGGACTGGTGACTTGTGCAGTCCAGGGATGAAACCTAACACTTTTTGGTGTGCTATCCAGGAGGTGCTGCAGATCCTCATAGAACTGATCTACTTCTCCTTCTTCAGCAGCTGTTGTTGGGGCGTATGTTTGGATACAGGCCCATAGCCAGGATTTTGTTTCGGGGGGGGGGGGGCTGAGTTTGATTGGGGGGGGGGGGGCTGAGTCTGAGTAAAAGAGGGTCTACCCTAGCAAACCTTTTGTATTGTTACCCCAATATCCCCATGTATATGGAATATATTGAGCATGGTGATCAGATCATGATATGAATAAACATAACAATCAGGGCCGGCCCGTCCATTACGCGAAGTAAGCGGTCGCAGAACACTTTCTTTGCCAGGGGCGCAGAGGCGCCTCTGTAAATGTCCCTCGACCGCCACTTGAGCAGCGCCTCCTCAGCTAACAACAGGCCTAGCAGTCCGGGGGGAGCCTCGGCTTTCTTGCCTTGCTGCCGGGCGATCCTCTTCCCAAAGGGGCCGGGCCCTTGAGCCTCGCCTAGCCCCTCTCATTCCTGCTCCACCCGGCCACCGGGTGCGCGAGCAGAGCCAGCACTCAATCGTTCTCCGTGTTCGATCCCTTCCCCATGACCGGCTCCCTTTCCCGATCCCCTGGCGCTCCACCCGTCTCCTCTTCTCTCCCCAATCTGCGGGTGGGCCAAGGGGCGGAGCCGCCGCACCTGGCCCGCTTCGGGTCCGGAGGCGTGTCTGTCTGAAGACCCCACTGTGCGCACCAAAAGTCGCATCTTCTCCTGACTTTCTCTTCAGCCATTGGTACCAAGAGGGAGAGAGAAAGAGAGAGAGAGAGAGAACCCCTCCGGCTGGAGGTATCTCCCACCTCCGCTCCCTCCTTTGTTTTTGCGCCTACCTTCAGGAAAGGTGGGCATCTCCACCTCTCTCTCTCTCTCTCTCTTGGTCCCAATGGCTGAGGAGAAAGTCAGGAGAAGGCACGCCTCCGGACCCAAACCGGGCCAGGCAAGGGAGCAAGTGTGGCAAGTGTAGTTACTGGGATGTATAGTTCACCTACAATCAAAGAGCATTCTGAACTCCACCAATGATGGAATTGAACCAAATATGGCACACAGAACTCCCACGACAAACAGAAAATATATATCAATGATTGGTTGGGGGGGGGGCAGTGCCAAAATACTGTTTTCTTACCGTTGAAAATTACCTAGGGCCACCTCTGTTTATCCCTGACCCTCATCATGTCTCCTTTCAGCCTTCTCTTCTGCAAGTTAAACATGCCTAGTTCTTTAAGCCACTCCTCATAGGGCTTGTTCTCCAGACCCTTGATCACCTTCCTCTGGACACATTCCAGCTTGTCACTATCTCTCTTCAGTTGAGGTGCCCAGAATTGGACACAATACTCAATGAGGACTGGCGACTTGTGCAGGCCAGGAATGGAACCTAACACTTTTTGGTGTGCTGTCCAGTAGGTGCTGCAGATCCTCGTAGAACTGATCAACTTCTCCTTCTTCAGCAGCTGTGTTTGGGGCGTATAATTGGATAGAAGCCCACGGGCGAGTGTGCGCTTTAAAAGTCCACGAAGGAGCCGGAGAGGCGCCTCCCCTTCGGAAGGAAAAGGCGGGAGAGAAGGAGGAGGAGGAGGAGGAGGAGGGCGAAGGGGAAGAAGGAGAAGAAGAAGAAGAAGGAGCAGGAGGAGAGCAGCAGGAGGAGAGCAGCGCTTAGAAAAAAGCGTTGGCACATGACAGCGATGTATATATAAAGCCCTGACACGTCGAAGAGAGAGAGAGAGAGAGAGTAGTGGGGAAGAGAGAGAGAGAGAGGGAGACGGGAGAGAGATGCCCCTGTGAGGCTCCTGCTGGAGGGGAGTGGGCTCTCCGGCCTCGGCATGGCTCTCCTCCTCCTCCTCCTCCTCCTCGTGGGTCTGCCCGCCTTGGCGGTCCCGCTTGCGGAGGAGTCCGAGGTGGTGACTCCGCTGCGCCTGGATCGGGACCCTTCCGCCCGACGCCAGCCTTTCCAGCCCTCGCAAGACGGGGACGCTTCTCCCCCCGAGGTGGTCTTCCAGCTCCGCGCCTTCCGCCAGGACTTCTCCCTCCGCCTCAGGCCGGACTCGCGCTTCCTGGCTCCCGCGTTCGTGGCGCAATACCTGGGCGCCACCCCCAGCTCCGCGCCCCCGGACCTGCGCCACTGCTTCTACTCGGGCGACGTGAACGCGGAGCTGGACTCCTTCGCCGCCCTGAGCCTCTGCGGGGGGCTGACCGGGGCTTTCGGCGTCCGCGGGGAGGAGTTCCTCATCCGCCCGCTGCGGGAGCCCGGCCTGGGCGGGGGGAACCGGGCGCGGTGGGTCGAGCCCGGGCAGCACCTGCTCCAGCGGCGCCCCCCACTCGCCGCGCCCGCCTCCCGCTGCGGGGTGGCCTCGGGACTCAACGCCGGCGCCCTCCGCGCCCTCGAGCAGTACAAGCTCTCCCGGGAAGGGGAGCCCCTCCAACCCCTCCAGCCCTCGCTCTCCTCCTCTCCTCCTCCTCCTCCTCCTCCTCGCCCCCGCGCCAAGCGCTTCGTCTCCCTCCCGCGCTTCGTGGAGACGCTGCTGGTGGCCGACGAGTCCATGGCGCTCTTCCACGGCGCCGACCTGACGCACTACCTGCTGACCCTCATGGCCACCGCCGCCCGGCTCTACCGCCACGCCAGCCTGGGCAACGCCATCCAGCTGGCCGTGGTCAAGCTGCTGGTCATCGGGCGCGAGGACAAGGGCCCCAAGGTCACCGGCAACGCCGCCCTCACCCTCCGCAACTTCTGCGCCTGGCAGAAGAAGCTCAACAAGGGCAGCGACAAGCACCCCGAGTACTGGGACACCGCCATCCTCTTCACCAAGCAGGTCGGGACCCGCCGGGGAGGGGGGGGGTTGAGTTGGGGGGGGAGCCCGCCCTCTGCCCCTTCCTTGCACCTTTTCCTTTTGCTTTTCTCCTCCCTTTCCTCCCTTTCCCTTCCCTTCCCTTTTCTCCTTTCCTTCCTTCCTTCCTTCCTTCCTTCCTTCCTTCCTTCCTTTTCTCCTTTCCTTCCTTTCCTTTCTCCTTTCTCCTTTCCTTTCCTTCCTTCCTTTTTCTTCCTTCCTTCCTTTCCCCCTCCCTTCCTTTCCTTCCTCTTCCTTCCTTTTTCTTCCTTTCTTTCTTTCCTTTCCTTTTCTTTCCTTCCCTCCTTTCCTCTTTCCTTCCCTCCTTTTATTTTTCCTTCCTTTTTCCTCCCTTCCTTCCCCTTCCTCCTTTCTTCCCTTTTCTTCTTTCTTCCTTTCCCCCTTTCCTTTTTTCCCTTTCTCCTTCCTTCCTCCCTTTCCTTCTCCTTTCCTCCCTCCTTCCTTCCTTCTTTCCCTCCTTCCTTTCCCCTTCTCCCTTTTTCCTTCCTTTCTTCTTCCTTCTTTTCTCTTTCCCTTTTTTCCCCTTCCTCTCTTTCCATTTCCTCCTTCCTTCCTTCCTTCCTTTCCCCTTTCCCTTCCCTTTTCTCCTTCCTTTCTTCTTTCTTTCCTCCCTCACTCCCTCTCTCCTGCAGCAGTACCCACTAGGAGCTCTGCCCTTCAGTCTCTCCCCCTTGAATCAGCTGTACCCAGTCTTGTTGTTGCTGTGTCTTTCCTTGCCCTCTCTCTACAATCTTCCCTTCCTTATCAGTGCTGTGCACACTGGGCATCCTGTCCTTCCTCTTCCCATCTTTGCCACTGTGACCCCCCCCCCCAGTCTTCCTGCCCTACTCCCTCCCTGTGCCCACTAGGAGCTCTGCCCTTCCTAGCCCTCTCTACACACTCTGCCCTTCCTTATGGTGACTGTGCACACTAGGCACTCTGCCCTTCCTCCCTTGTCCTTGCTGCTGTGCCCACTAGTCTTCCTGCTCTTCTTTATCTCTTGCAGCCACTATGCCCACTAGAGCTCTGCCTTTCCTTGCTCTCTCTATGCACTCTGCTTTTCTTTATTACTGCTGTGCACACTGGGCATCCTGTCTTTCCTTCTCCCTCCCTTGCCACTGCGGTGCCCCCTTTTCCCTCCCTGTGCCCACTTGGAGCTCTGCTTTTCCTCACACTCTGCGCTTCCTTATCGCCACTGTGCATACTAGGCACTCTGCCCTTCCTCCATCTTCCTTGCTGCTGTACCCACTAGTCTTCTCTGCCCTACCTTACAGCCACTATTACTGTCTTTTCTCTTTCCTTCTGCTGCTGTGCACACTGGGCATCCTGTCTTTCTTCATCCCCTCCATTCAGTTGCTGTGCCCAGTATACACTCTGCCCTTCCTCGTCGCTAATGTACATACTAGGCCCTCTGCCCTCCCTCCCTCTTCCTTGCTGCTGTGCCCACTAGGCTTCCTCTTCTCCTCCTTTCCTTGTCACTGCTGGGCATGCCAGGCACCCCACTCATCCCTCTCCCTTCTTTGCACCCACTAGGACCTTTTCCTTTCCTTGTGGCTTCTTTGCACATTGCCCTTCCTTAGTGCCACTGAGCACATTAGGCCCCCTTCCCTTCTCCCTTCCTTGCCTCCCTGGTGCACATGGGGTGCCTGGTTCCTCTTGCTTGTGTGTGATAAGGAGGGATTTGGGGGCAGTGCTCTGAGGGACCCCTTTCCCACCCATTCTGTGCTTGCCTTGTTATTTATGTGTGCAACAATGTGATTCAAACCCATGAAGGTTGGACCAAACTGGGAAATAGGCCATTTGACTTAACTGGCACTGCAGTAGTGAGATTGTGGGGTGTGTATGTGGGAAACAGTGTGAGGATGGGCAGGGTTGGATTCTTGACTCTCAATGCCACACTGGCACTCTCTCAGGTGACCAGAGTGAGAGTCAATTGCATTGAATTCAAGGTGGGCTTCCTACCAAATAAAAGACGACATTGCACCTGCTCTAAAGGGCAGAGCTTGGGAATGGGGCTGCCTCAGCCTTGGCTTGGGAATTTGGGAGATGTAGTTCGAAAGATCTCATTCCCAAACTGGTTAGGGGATTATGTAAATGTTGTCCCTGATTGGGGATAATGGGAGGTATAGTCCAAAAGGCCAGGTCATGTAGTGTCTGGGGATTCTGGGAAAGTAGTTCCCAAATGTCCAATTCCTAAACTCTCAGGTTTTCTGCTGGGAGTACCTTTCTCCTCTTTGTTGTCTTGCCCCTTGCCATGCAGTGGAGCAGGACCCAAACTTGGGACTAAGTGCACGCAAGGCATGTGTTTGGAGGCTATGCACAGAGTTGGCCTCTCCTGTTGTCGCTTGTTGGCAGCTTTGAGAGAGGGCAGCTCATGGGGCGGGTGCTTGGCATACGTGGAATTCCTTTTGAACAGCAGTCCAGGGAGAGAGAGAGAGAGAAAAAAAAGACAAACACCCATTGGCACAGTTATTGTAATGATTATTTTCTTTTAGTGAGGCCAGTAAATGGGTCAGACGGAAGGCATTCTTCCAGAGGAGGCAATTCTGACAGGGCTCAAGATTGCCAGTGGGCCCCTCTTTGAGGATCTTTCGATCTGTCGTGCATCTCTCTTTCTCTCTCCACTCATTCTGTGTCTCCATCTCTCCTTCCTGTGCCTGTTTTCAGGGATATAATTGTTGGTTACCCAATGTAGTCACTGTTTATAGCCTGGAGCAGCCATTGCTTGCTGTTTTACTGCTAGGAAACTGTGGCCGGATGCATCTTTAAATGCATTTTGTGGATTTTTTTAGAAAATGGAAGACATGACAGAAATGGGGATAGCAAGAGATTTTCTAAATGTTAGGATTGCTTTTTGAAACTTCTAAGCATCCTGTTGAGGAGCAGATAAAAGAAAAGACATTTCTGCATTATCCATACTGACCCAAGACACTGGGTTGTTGTAGGTTTTTTCGGACTATATTGGCCATGTTCTAGAGGCATTCTCTCCTGATGTTTTGCCTGCATCTGTGGCAAGCATCCTCATAGGTTGTGAAGTCATGACCTCAAAGGTTGTGACCCAAGACAGTTTGTTGCCCGATACCAGAGACAAAAATGTGCCTTCTAGTGGCAGCTGGCGGTGCCAATAGGGCTGCATATCTGTCTGCTCTGGACTTGAAAGGGAGCTGTCCAAAGTGCTGAACGCTTGCCCCCCAAACAGAGGCAATTCCTTAGATACTGGAAAGTTCAGACTGAAACATGGAGTAGATTCTCTTTTCCAGGTCCTGCATTCAGGGCACAATGAGCCTGTATGACTTATGGCCGCAATCAATGGACAGTGTCACAAGTGAGACGTTTAGGGACAATTCACCTCTGCAGACACGGCAAGGGAAAGGAAAGTGTGTCCCTATAGATATTATTGGGCTGCAATATTAATCTTTCCATCTAGTATAGTCAATGGTGAGGAGTGCTGGGAGTTACAGTACGGCAGCATTTTGAGGGAGCACATTTGTCCACCTGTGCTTGTTGTAGTTGTTCTTGTTGTGTGCCTTCAAGTCATTTCCAACCAATGGCTACCTAACATTATCTCAGCAAGACTTGTGCAGAAGAAGTCTGCCATTGCATTCCTCTAAAGCTGAGGGAGTGTGGCTTGTCCAACATCACACAGGTGAGTGGGGATTCAAATGTGGTTGATCTATTATGTTTTTGGCTTGTTGTAAGTTTTTCGGGCCATATGGCTATGTTCCAGAAGCATACTCTCCTGACGTTTCACCTGCATCTATGGCAGGCAGAGGTTGTGAGGTCTCACAACCTCTGAGGATGCCTGCCATAGATGCAGGCAGAATGTCAGGAGAGAATGCTTCTGGAACATGGCCACACAACCTCTGAGGATGCCTGCCATAGATGCAGGCAGAATGTCAGGAGAGAATGCTTCTGGAACATGGCCACACAACCTCTGAGGATGCCTGCCATAGATGCAGGCAGAATGTCAGGAGAGAATGCTTCTGCAACATGGCCACACAACCTCTGAGGATGCCTGCCATACATGCAGGCAGAATGTCAGGAGATAATGCTTCTGGAACATGGCCACACAACCTCTGAGGATGCCTGTCATAGATGCAGGCAGAATGTCAGGAGCGAATGCTTCTGGAACATGGCCACACAACCTAACACTTTCAAGTAGTGGCTCCTTATTCTCTGGGGGAATCCTTTGTTGAGAGGTGATTAGCTATACCCTGATTGTTTCCTGTCTGGAGTCCCCCTGTTTTATGATTTTAGAGTTTTTAAATACTGGTAGCCAGATTTTGTTCATTTTCGTGGTTTCTTCCTTTTTGTTGAAATTGTCCACATGCTTGGACAATTTCTCCCACCCTGGACATTCCAGATACATAAACCCAGTTTTCCTAGTTTCCATCAGACCTCACAACCATTGAGGATGTCTGTCATAGATGCAGGCAAAATGTCAGGAGAGAGTGCTTTTGGAACATGGCCAGACAGCCCAAAAAACTTACAACAATCTAGTGATTCCGGCCACGAAAGCTTTGAACAATACATATTATGTTTTTATTCGTTCAAGCAATTCCCCCCCCCCCCCTAAAAATCTTACCAGAAGGTCTATGAAACAGCTGCAAAGGCATTTCTACATCCCGTGGGAGCTGGGATTTCTTTCCCCCAAGGGTCATTTTTCACTGTGAARGTTTTATTTACAGTCATGGTAAACACATTTAGGTTTATCAAGTTGCATGGCTTTTGGTCTCYGAGGAACATCCCTGTGTTGGAGTCCTAATTAGAAGGACTTCCTGCTCCTTGCTGTGCTTGTCTTTTGTTTGTGTGCTGATGGGAATCCATCACAGTCCAGTGAAGACAAGAGTCCTTAGTGTTTTAGTCCCATTGTTTATAGCTCTGGAAAAAGCCAAAATCTATCATGATTTCCTGCTGGTGAACCCTGCAGGGAGACCTTGTGAAGGAAGCAGAAGATGGCTTTCTAGCGCCTCCCAACTGTGTTC